AAATCTTCCTCTTCATCCCTGTAATCTCTTCTATTACACACACACACACACACTCTCTCCCTCTCTTTTAAACGCACTCCTTCGTCCCCTATCTGTAGTAAGTATTTTACATAACAGTTTGAAGTGTGTATGCATACAAAATTCAATTTACCGCAAGCGCTCGACTAAGAACAAAAACAACTAAAGAGTTAAGAAAAGTGAAAACTTTCAATTTCCTCGCCTCATCGCTGTTAGTTTTCACTTATTTTCGTTTACACTAATGTAATCTTCTCTAATCTTTCCACGATTACAGAACCTTATTTAATCGTTAAATCAGCGCAACTTCCTTTTCGTAGCAATAAGTAGACAAGTTGGAAATCTTCTTTACCTAACAATTTCTTAGTTATTTTTGTGTACGGTTGAGTGTGGATGTGTAAATTTGTATTTATTCGAGAGCTCGGCTTATCTGACATGTCTACAGTTGTTGATACGCTAAGTTGATTTCTTGCTGTGAACTTCCCAGTGACTGCAAGGCAACTTGATGGTTACCACTTGAGTTGGGTGGTCATATCTAGTGGGCTAAAAATGGAAAATTGCTACTTTAGCGATAACGGTAAAGGTGGCTGGCGATGAAAATTATGCATTGGCAGAAAAAGTAGAGAAAACGATTCATTTTAACTAAAAGAGATCTAATTTTTTATAATCTAGTGCAATAAAAAGAGTTCATATTACACTTTTAATTCTTATGTTTCTTTTAAAATTACCGACTCGTAAAAAAATTTTTCATTTGTTTTAGAAAAATTTATTAATTTATTTTTGGAGGTACTTTTAGTTATTTTTAGTTCTAATTGTATATTTCGTTAAATAAATATCAAAAAAAAATAAATTTAAATTTAATATTGGTTGCCAATATCTCCCTTCCACTTTTTTGCTCTTCATTCAATGCTTTATAAAAAGTGTTACAGTGATCGGATTTAGTTAAAATATGCGCCACTTTGTTCGATGATCTGTTTCCATCTAGTCGGCAACTTCATAATACCCTCCTCGTAGAAGCCCCCCTCCTTATTTGCGAAGAATTCGGACAGCCACTTTTCACAAGCCTCTTTTGAGTTCAACTTCACACCACCAAGGGCATTCGCCATGGACAGGAACAGGTGGTAATCACTTGGCGCTACGTCCGGGCTATATGGTGGATGTGATGAAACCTCCCATCCGAGCTCCCGTAGCTTCTGACGAGTCATCAACGAAGTGTGTAGTCTGGCGTTGTCCTGGTGGAACACTACACCCTTCCTGTTGGCCAATTCTGGACGCTTCTGGTCGATCGCCTGCTTCAAGTGGTCCAGTTGTTCGCAGTAGATGGTAGAATTAAGCGTCTGGCCATATAAGAGTAGCTCATAGTGGTTGATTCCCTTCCAATCCCACCAAACACACAGCAAAACCTTCCTGGCCGTCAATCCCAGCTTGGCCACTGTTTGGAACGATTCACCGGCCTTCGACCACGACCGTTTTCGCTTGATATTATCGTATGTGATCCGATTTTCGTCGCCAGTCACCATACGCTTCAAGAATGGGTCGAGTTCGTTCCGTTTCAGCAGCATATCGCAGGCGTTGATTCGGTGCAGAAGGTTTTTTTGCGTCAAATTATGCAGCACCCAAACATCAAACTTTTTTTTGTATCCAGCCTTCTGCAGATGGTTCAAAATGGTTTGGTGACTAACTCCCATCTCCTGGGCGATGTCACGAGATGCCATATGCCGGTCTAACTCGATGTATTCCATGATATGATCGGTACTTGTCGTCACAGGTCTTTCGCCGGCTGGCTTATCCATGGTGTCGTTATCACCGGCTTTGAATCGTCGAAACCATTCCTCCTCGGCTCGAAGTGATAGAGTACCATCCCCCAAAACACCATTAATCTCACGGAACGTTTCTCTAGCGGATTTGCCTTTAACGAAGGAAAACTTTAAAATAGCGCGAATTTCGGCGTTAGTGAACTCCATGTTTACACGTCTATAATTGTTGAAATGAAGAAATGAATTCCAATTTAGAATTTCCTTATCTATTTTTATTTATAATTTGAAATAAAAATAGTTATGTGTTAGTGTCTCTGCATCATATTTTCTGCATCCCTTTGGGCATTAGGATTTGATTTCCGCCTTTTGTGGCGCTTAGGATAGATAGTAAAGCAATAAACTTAAATTATCTCGTATATACTAAAGTCGAAGTGCTTCGTAAGATGCTAGTGCTTGTTCCAAAATGGTGAAAGCTTGGCCTACAAACCCATTTGAAGCACGTGCACGCTACGTGGTTTTTGAATAGAAACAGCGCTCAATAAATTCCGATGCTACAACGGAATGGTGATCCCGCATCCCGGCTACCGGGAAAAAATCACCCGCATTAATTCCAATTTTCAACCGGTTTCACCACCGAGTTTCCCCAATACATTTAGAAGGTTAAAAGATGAATTTCCATACCACACTACTTATAATTTTTCCGTAATGTCCACCCCCAAGCTTTTTCAATAGCCATAGAGCTCGGTAAAGACATTTAAAGGTGTCATTTAATATTATATTTCCCTTCTTCCTAATCGTTCTCTCCCTCCTGCCATGAAGCTGAGACAAGTTCTTGAATGTAATTTATTTTTAATCAAAATTCAATATTTAATTTTGATTTAATTTTTTACGTACTTAATTAAGATTTTTTTTTATTATTTTGAATTTAAATCTAAATTATAATTTTAAATAAATTTTTTCACAAAAATTTTTATTTTAAAACTGAACGCTGTAGTTAATTTCGATTTTTAAATGTAATTCATAATTTTTCTTCAGTATTGAGATTAATGTTAATTCAATTTTAACCTTATTATTAATTCTAGTTTTAAAATTGTCAAACATAATTTAATCTTTTTTTTAATCTAAATTTAAGTTCAATTTTTTAGAAAAAAAATGTTTTTTTTTAATTTTATTTATTATTTATTATATTGAAAGTTTTTTTAGTTCTGAGTAAAAGTTTTGATTAAATTTTAAATAAAAAATTGTTCGACTTTAATTATTATTTTTTTATTTTACCTTGAATAAATAATTCACGTTCTTTTTTTCAAATAAAATTTTAGCAAATCAATACTAGTTTTTCTCAGTGTTGCATTCACTCGCACTTACACTTTACAAATTCCACCACTCACTCACAACCAAAGCCATTTTTTTCGCCACTCACTTCTTATCGCAGCCATTATCACTTTGAACGCGCGGAACGAAATGACCTGTTAAAGTAAAATTTTCACAATTTTCCACAAAATCTTTTGCCAGTTAACGCAAGCCCTTACCAACGCAGTTGCAGAACGTATATATGTAAATATGGAGCAGCAATGTGTCGGGAGCAGGAGTCAGCATTCAACGCGTTTTACTCCAGCATACGATTAAATCAAAGAGTGTGACGGTGGAGCAAGTGGAATTAGTTTTATTTCTCTTATTTTTTAGAAATATTTTGGAACTACCTTTTTGTGAATTAGTGTGAGTGAGCATATAATATACATGTATATAGCACATAACACCTGTCTCTACGTTGAACATTTAACACTATTCACCCTCATCAACGCCATCAACAGCAACAGCGTGCCATCAACTGTGGCGATGGCTTTGCCATGGACGGCGAATGTTATGTGCGAAAGGAAAAAAGCTGGTTCGAGTTACCAGCGTGCTGGTAGATATGAACAAGTCAGCTTCTGTCATACACACATACATACATACACAACTAACCCATTGCCGTCAGTTTTTGATAAGGATACGCTAGGCGAACGGCGCTCAGCTCGTCATCACTTTTGTACGCACACACATTTTTCTACTTTCCGTTGCGCTTTCAGACGCTCACAATAAACTCTACGTTAAATTGAGGTTTGTTTGGTTGAGTATAGCAAAAAATATCCGAGTGGAGCAGATGTAAATTTTTATAAATAGAAACTGTGTGTATTTAAGGTGAAGTGAAAATAGTTTTTTTTTTTGAGGTTCTTATTATCATTGAAGCAGAATGCTGGGTATCCTATATCCCGGTCGCAGGTGATAGTTTACACGGGATGCTTGAGAGTTGAAAAATTTACTTTAAAAAGTTCGTCAGATGAAAAAGACACAAGCGTTGCTTATGCCAAAACAAACCAGAAAACATACAAGAGTGTACCGATTTGAATAGAACAACTTAACCATATATCTTTCCTGATATATTTAACATAAAAGGAAAGCATTTTCTCCGCTCACCAATTTATATCGAGAAGCTCGAAAGAAAACTGTCACTATCTACCTTAGTCAGAACCTCCATCAGCTCCGTAGCTATTAACTCTTCGCGAAGACGTGGAGAACTTAACAGCGAGGCAGTCGTAAAAGGCGGCAAAAGCCCAATAAAAATCGACTTGCAAAAGCAAAATAGAGAAATAGAAAGTGCGACAGACTGGAAATAAGCAGACTGCAAATGAGCCAATTAGACATGTCTCTCAGAGAACGGTTTTGCAATCACATACATGGTGTGATCCGCCTAGCGTTTACCAAGCTGATCGTGACTTATCGCTTCAGGGAGAAAACTAAGGGCATATCCAACCAACTCTTTTCCCTTAGAAATCATCATAAACTTGTAAATCACCATAAAACTTTTAAGGTCTCCGAATCAGACTGCTACCATAAGGAAAACCGTAAAATAGACAGTATTCAAACTGATTTGAATATTCTTTTGAATTTTTTTCTTTTTTGTATATTTGATATATAACAACAGTTTAAGATTTTCAACCAAGTTCAACTTTTTACTATTATTTTTTTAGAGCTTTATTTAATATAAAATTGCACAAAAGCTATTAATTGTCTCCATGAAACCTTTCCACTAAGAATGCCAAAGAAGTGCATATTTTTCAAAACTTTTCCAATGCTAAAAAAAGCAAATAAATATATTCTTCCTACAAACAAACACAGACACACACATACACACACAGATGAACACGCAAATTTATTCCTCTAAAAGTTACTTCAATCAACTCAACTTACCGACAACTTGCATAATTCCCGTGGCTGTGGCTGTTGAGAAGAGCGGCGCGTCTGCCGTCACTTCGCAAGAGAAATTACCGGACAAACCGAAGCCCACATTGCGGATGAGCACTTGCGTTGCATTTGAATTGGTCACCTGTGGAGTGAAGACAAATGAAATGTTGCTATCATTTACACTATATAATCAAATGCAAAGTAGGAAAAAAGAAAATCTACAAACAGAAGAAGCGTTGCATGGGTGTATAAGTAAGGGAAAAACTAATTTCCAATGGTATATAAAAGAAATTAGTGGAAGACGAATTGAAATAAAATGTGAAAATTATACAAACTGAAAGTCATGCCAATAACGAATTTTAGCTGCACACTAACGGTATATTATAAAATACAATAGGTATATGAAGCGCGCTGCGGTATTCAAATTTTCATCTGCTGAACGGTATATTTAAGCTAAAAAAGAAAACTTCGTTTCAGCAAGTGAAACCAATATAATGAAATGCTGCTGACTAATTACAAATCAAATTTCCATGCAAAAGTAATGAAATGGTGGCAAGTATAACACGCAAATGCAGAAAAACAGAAAACAAATAAATGAGAGAGAGAGAGAGGACCAAAAATGAGTATTTTTCTTTGGCTTCCCCAAAACAGCAGGTGTTTTTTGAAAATACTTTTTAGTTTTGATTTCGGTAGCTGTAAATTATGTTGGCCACAATTTCAATTGCACATTATTCACAAAAAGCACTTAAGTTTATTAAATCATCTAAACCGCAATGCCACAAAAGACAAAGAGTAAGTTGATTTGTGTAGTTTGCGGCGATAGTTGGAGAATTTTTGGAGGCTACCAACTCCTCAGCTGGCTTTATTTTAGGGAACATTTTGTAGTGGTGGTGCAGTGAGCTGCTACAGTAGGTTAAAGTAGTGGAGTTGAGAAAAAAAATTCAATGAGAATTTTCAAGTAAAATTAAAATGGTTTCATTCTTTAAATAAGAGTAAAATTTCTCGCAAAGAAAATAGTTTCTTGTTTCATTCCTTTAGGGTAAAAATAAATAGTTTTTTTATTCATTAGAAGTCTAAATTATTTTTTGAAAAAATAAGATTTGTTTCTTAATAATCGGAATCTTTTTTTTTTTTATAAGAAACAACTATTAAAATTTCTTCACTTCAGCGTTCATAAAATTAAGTGAGTACTTCTGGACTAACTCGGAATTAATTTAGAAGAATTCCTTTGCCTGCTAGTTATTTATCAAATATCATTACCTTTAGACTAGTCTATATCCAGTCCACGATTAATTCATTACAATTTCGAAACCAAATCCGTTCAAGTTTGGCATAAATCTACTTAGAGTTTCTTACTGATTTACAAACCCTTTAACGACTTGTATCAAACTCTGATAGAAACATTTGCTAGTGCTCAAATGTCCATTTTTAGTCTAGTCCAAGTCTATTTTTAGTCTACTTTAGAACCAACCTTAGTATCTTTTTTTGAAGTAAATTATCTTATTATGAATTAAGCTTTAGGTACTTGGCTTTTAAATTCTGTATTTAGTTCTGATTTTTACAACGGACTAAAGGTCTTCCTCTTCTGAGAACACTTCGAACACTTTCACAGTTGGACTGCTGCTACACATCCAAGCAACACGATCTAACCGACGGAGCTGATATCCTTTTATTCGATTGGTTGGCTGTACGTAACTTCTGGCTCTACCAATGCCTTAAGTTGAAGAAAATCATTCGATATTGCGGAAAGTAATTTTTTCTAATTGCGGTGGATCCTCGGTTAGGGAAAGTCAAGTTCTGCGAGTGTATTCCCGACAGGAAATTAAAGCTCCTCATAAAAAGCAATTATCCATTCAGAGAGGAAGCTTAAAATAAGCCATAGAATTGGAAGACGCTGTCGCTTAGATGTCAAACTAAATATTTTTTATTTTATTTAAAAGTCAAGCATTTATGAAAGTGGATCACTTAACAAACGCACAATGCGTTAAAATTAAAACTTTCAAAGAACTTTGAAGAATTTGAATCAGTTATAGATATTGTAACACCCAAACATTATCGATTTATTTGTTCAACCTCAAGAGTTGGATCTTACTTACATCAAATTATAGCATATTTTGCACATGGACTTACACCTACTTCCATATAAACTCTAGTTCACACAACAACTGAAACCAGTCGACCATTCACAATGCCGTACATACGTCTATTGGATTCTTCAGCAACTATAAGTGGATTGCGATTTTTCGGACAAAATCTTGTTTTAGCGACTAGACACATTTCTAACTCGGAGGATACGTAAACAAGCTCTCGCGCTTATGGCTCTGAAAATCCTCAAATAATTGAAGAGAGTTTATTGCACCAAAAAACTTACAATCAGTTGAGCTCTTTGATGCAGAAATATGATTGGCCCTTGGAAAACGACAACGGCGAGACTGTCACTGTCAATTCAGAGCGTTATGGTCATTATGCCATCGAATTACACAAAACTTTTCTCTTAAAAACTCATCAAGCTTTGGCATCGTCCAAGCCTCTGACTAGCAGAATGGGAATCGATGAACGAAATGTAGATCTTTGTCCTTATTCGTTTGAGAGGAAACTTTACTTTTCAATTGCCTACCGAATTCATAGTAACATCCGTTGACAATTCTGATTCTACACTGGATTTCAAGGCTGGCATTGTTGTTGGTATTAATGAGGGTTACTAGATAAACGAGATTTTTTGCCTATCGACAGCACAAGCATAAAAGTGGGAAATATTAAAAAATTCAAAATTTTTCTGTTCTTTTATTTACTTTCTGTTGAAATAAGAACTCATTTCATAGTAAATTACATTTAAAAGAATTTTATTTTCTAACAAAATAAAGTTCGAAAAATTTTACTTAAACCAAATTTTACTGTCCTTCTGTACTGAAATATTTTAAAACGAACAACCCATCCAACCGACTTGTTAGTGAGCATCCGGTGAACCAGCATTCGTTAGTTGGGGGTTAATAATGGCAAAAAGTAACCGCATAACTTGAACACGATGGAAAAACCAAAAGCCTGCTGCAGTGCTGCTGCTGCAAACATTGGTAAATTGGCAAGCGGACAGACACAGGCAAATGCTAATGCAGTTGCCACTGTCACCCACGATTGGCGAGCGAACCCTGCCTGGCGCTGTACGCTTGTACGGTGATGCCACATTTTTCGTTAGACACATTTTACCTTTTGCCATGCACAGGCCAGAAGAAGCGATAAACAGAATGCGGAATGTTTGCGCGGGTAGAAGGATATAATATGGGTGGCAGGCAGCCTGGGCAGCGAGTTATGCAAAAAGGCTCAACCGGGCAGCAGAATTTGCAAACTTTTTCAATAAGCAGCCGGTGCAAAGTTACGCCAAAACAGCGGTGGCTTTTTAACCACATCACCCGGCAACCCCACATCGACACCGTAACACCGCGTTGGGTGGTTGCACGTGAATTTCGACGTTTACCGCTGCCGCTGTGATATTGATGGCATTCACTTGGCTTACGCAGTGCGAACGATGAACTGAAAATATTTTATACAGGTAATACATACTAACTGCCACAAAAGATGCGGTACATGCAAACATACACATCTCTATGTATATTTTGTAGGCATAGCAACACCAACAAACTGCGGCAACTTTAATCGGCAAACGCCAACTCGTGCTGTTAAATTTCAGAGAAAAGTTTCCAACACAAAAAGGTGAAAATTAACATTTTTTGCTATTTTGCTATACATATATAATATTCTTGGTGTATTGTAGAAACGCCAGTGCCTGACTCTGCGGTGAAATTTTTAGCGGGACCCACGCGAAGCGCCATACGTAACCACTGCATGGCATTGCGAATTCAACACCTGCTAATAAAGTCAAAACCATATACTGTCTTCCATTCCATTTATATACGTGTATGTATATTTATCTATTTTCGGCTTTTCCAAATACCGAAACCAGAGGCCAAATATTATTGGAGGGTAAGAAGTGATTGGAGAAATATTGTGTAAAAAAAATAAAAATTTATTTCAGTAACGAAATTTTTGGTTTGAATTCAAAAATTAATTTATTTTATTTATTTAAACAGTCAGCATTTAATACAACTAAATCGGTGAAATGATTTTCAGCTGAGTTTCTCCTCCAGTTTTGAGATCTTTGATGTTCTTCCAGACAAATTGATGATGTACATTTTAAAGCCATCGAATGATGGTTAAGTAGGAAGAGTTTTATATTTGAATGAGACATGCCCTCGTAGGGGTCAAAATTCTTCCGACAACACTTATTCGATCGTCAGCGACGTGCTGATATTTCAAGTGATATTAGGGCAAGTAAGAAGTTCGTACGATGTTGCATCATGTCGGACAAATGTACACAAAGATATCATATCTTGAAAAATCAATCATAAATGAATGTTTCTGATGAAGACATTTCTCAAAATTGTTATTCGCTTTAAAAGCAGTTTCGCTATGTGATGATATTTATTGCAAGATCGCGGTTTGCGCGATGAACTTCGTTCTGATCAGTCAGTATTTGAAAAAACCGAAAAAATTCGGCAACAATTTGAAATTATTAAAAAAAAAAAAGCTTGCAACCCAAAGAATCTCGATTGATTGACCGAGTTGCCATCAGACAAATGCTTCTAAAACACGACGAACATTTCTGTAGCGACTCATAGTGGGTATTCACCGCTCAGGTTAAATATGAGAATTTAAGATGAAAACAAAAATGATCAAAGCTCGACGACCCTCCACAAAGGACTTAAAAGTCTGAAATTATGGCCAACTAAACTGATGCTGAGTGTTTGGTGGAAATGGAAGGTGATTTTCAATCGGCTCTGCTGTCAACAATTAAAGAGCTTATAAACACACTTCAAAAAAAAGCGTTCAAAATTGAACAGAGGCGCTGAGTGTCATTTTAATCAAGCCAGGCGATCTATATACTTCTTTAAATACCAAGCAAAACGTGGCGTGGCTTGACTGGGAAGTTGCGATGTTCTCACCGGCTATTTGATGAATCTTACACCAACTGATAACCCTTTCTTGCGGTCTTCAAAAACTCCCTTGATGGTAACAAATTGGCAGACCGAAGCGCTGTGGTAAAATTCTCAAAAAACCGGAGAAGCTTATACTGATGGATTTATGAAGTTACCCAGAAATCATCTCAAAATATCATAAATAGCAATGGCTAAGTTCTACTTAATGAGAATTGATAAAAATTTATTTTCTTCAAATAGAAATTGTTTTCAAAAATATACAAGAAAAACCGCGGAGACGCTTAAATTATCAATATAAAAATAAAATACTGTCCATCATGTTTTTGTTGAGACTCCAGTAGATTCCTTCACCTGACGAGTTACTAAGGATTAAAAAAGATCTTTTGGAAACATGATTACCGACAGTACCAGAAATTCATGAAGTGACAGGGCTGCTACCCATAAGAGCCGAAAAATACGTCTCTAGTGTTCTAGATATGCGTACTTTCTAAGGTACAAACTTTGACTTGAATCACTATCTTGTCGCAGCGAAGATACGCAGACACACCTTATTATACGGATCGTCTGGCGGCTTTTGGGCCATAATTTCACTAAGGCAAGAAGCGATTTTCTTTCAAAAGGCGATATAATTTTGAACAGATTGTCAGATTATTTTGGGGCAAGAGTGAAATTCGAAAACAAATCACAAGTATCACATAGGATACCTGCACAAATATTCTAATGTTCAACTCGTGCAATTTAGCTTAGAATGAGAAGCGATTCTGAGGGAAAAATGTCCTGTAATTATAAAAACTTTTTTATCTACTCTTGGTTAATTTAGAATTGGCGCGCTCAATATCTGTCCTTTAAACTTTAAGCGACTAGTGATGGAAGCTTTGAAAAGCTCGGCTGGTGAGTCTTTGAGCTTTTTTAATTATTTTAGTCGAGCTCGGAGAAGCTTTATTGATTTAAAAAAAATATAATTTATCACCATTAAAATTAATATTTGTGGGTCTCTCTCTGTAAATCAGCTTTCAGAGAATCTCTGGAAATGATCAAAAAAATATTAATAAAAATTAAGTTCATGTATTAAATTTTAAAATTACATACAAATATATGTATGAGAAAAATAAAAATATGTAAATGTTGTATGTGCTTGGGTATCATCGTAACGAAATCTATATGTAAAATTTTCAGCAGTCATATATATATATATATATATATATGTATAACATACATGCATATTACGAAAAAATAGTAAAAAGGCATAAATTCATTGATATTTTGCTCATGCCACACTTGTCTATTCTACATACATATGTATATATGTATTCTCAATTTTATACTCACATCCACATGTATGCCGGGAAATGGAAAAACTTTCGTATTCGGAAATTCACCAGGTGTATAGCGATAGAACTCCAATTGACCGCGATAAAATTTGGCCGAGTAGAGTGGCGTACCCTCCAAATCGTAGAGACAGCGCACAATGGCGTGTTGGCCGCGTCTCACTGCTGGTGGTTCGATGATTAAATTGACATTTCGTAGTGCGCCCTCAACGATAGCTGTTGGTGGTTGTTTTTTTTTATTTTTTGAAATTGCGTTTTTTTTTTTGGTATATGTGTTTTTCGATTTACAGATCATATGTTGTGGGTGATACCGAGAAAGAGACAAGCAAAAATGGAAATGAAGATTAATAGGAATATTAAAGTTGAAAAAGTTGTTTGCTTAAAAAATAAATGAAATGGAATATGTAACTTTTTCTGAAAATATTTTAAATTAAATATTTAGTGGCAGATATGCATAAAAATAGTTTAAAAAAATATGTATATTTTTTCATATGTACTTGATGTACATATGTATCATATGAGCACACAAAAAAGGTGCACTGCACTTTACTTTTTAAGCGTTGAATAACCGAATATGTAACATTGATAAAACAGTTTCATAAAAAATATTATTCTCTCTTGTTAGTCATGCAACAATTACATTTACTTTTTATTTCATCTTATTTCACCTTTTAAATCGCACATTTTGACACTTTTTAAATGTCGAAAAAAAACTGCTAACCGTTTCATGCTTGTGGCTAATTTATGAACGATTAATAATCAAATTGATTTGTTTACCTCAAGGCTTAAAGCGTTTGCATTTTTTTATGCCACTTCATTGTGCATTTCGTTGCAACGCGTTGGCTAAGCAGCACTGACAGCCATAAAATCTACCAATCGAAGGGATTACAACAGATTAAATAAAAAATATGTTTTGCATGAAATGTGAGATTTGGCACTCACTTTAATATGTTTTTGTAACAGAAATATTTTTGTCACTTTGAGTGGGCATTCAAATATTATTAGGAATTGCGTGAATAAAAATATATAAAGAGCATTGGAGAAAGAATAGGCAGCCAACGTATATAATAAAAAATTGCAAATCTAAAAAACGTGTAGGTGAAGTATTAACAATAAACTCTTCCGTTCGATCCTTTGAAAATTTTAAATTTTTTGTAATTTATAACCAGCATAATTTTTGTTGATTATATAAAAATTAAATTTTTTTGTTTTTTATTTATACGATAGAGAAATTTCTTCTCAGCATATTGCTACATTAAATAAATACAACATCAAGAAACTTAACTTATTTAAATTAATTAAAATTATTTAAAAATGAATTATTTTTTCATATTGTTTACTTAATCTTATTTTATTATTTTCGCGAGGAGCGTGACTCGTTCCCCATCCTTAGGTGCTGGCTAATTGCGTCCTGCTATTTGAGTTTTTGTATGCTAGAATATATACAATACACATATAAATGTAGGAGTTTTATGCTATGGTGCCTACTTTTTGCGTCTCTTCGAGCTGCTGTAATTGAAGTTGAATATATTCTACATTCTCCCTCACCCTCTAAGGCATTATTTTGAACAATGTAACTCTAGTATTTATCTTATTTCATTTTTTTATGTAATTTTACTCAATTAGGTTTTATTTAATTTTTTCAACTTTATTAAATTTTATTTTATTTTATATTTATATTTATTTTTTATCTCTTTTTTAATTTAATTTGGGTTACTTTTTTAACTTTACTTTATTTTAATTTAATTAAATTTTTTTAAATGAATTTAATTCAATTTATCTTAATTTTATTTTCTTTTTTTATTGTATTTTATTTTACTTTCTTTTTTATTTAATTTTATTTCATTTTATATAATTCAATTATAATTAAATTTATATCATTTTTTTTATTCTGTTATATTTTTTATTTTTTTTTATGTATTTTATTTTTTATTTTACTTTTTTATATTAAGTCAATAATAACTTTGATAACTTTGTGTACATTTATGTCAAATAAGCGTAGTTTTGTACGTAAACTTGTTGCCAACGAGGTGCCAACTTCCCTCTCGTAGAAGGCTACGTCCCTATTGGTAAAAAAACTCCGAGATCCAATTTTCACAGACCAACTTCTCACCATTAAGCGCGTTCGCCATGGACAGAAAAATATGGTAGTCACTTGGTGCCGGGTCCAGACTATAAGGTGGGTGCATTAGAACCTTCCATCCGAGCTCCTGGAGCTTCTAGCGCGTCACCAAAGACGTGTATGGCCTGGCGTTGTCCTGATGGAACACAATTCGGGCTCTGTTGATCAAAGGTGGCCTCTTCTGGAGGAGTGCTACCTTCAAGCAGCCCATTTGTTGGCAGTAGAGGGTCGAATTTAGAGTTTGGTCATAGGGGAGCAGCTCGTAGTAGATGATTCCTTGCCAATCCCATCAAACACACAGCCATCAATCCGGTCTTGTCCACTGTCTGCGCCGCTTCTCAGAGCATTGACCACGACCTTTTGCAACATCGATCGTAAGTGACTAATTTTTCACCGCCAGCCACAACCCGCTTCAGAAACGGGTCGATTTTGTTGCGATTCAGCAGCGATTCGCAGATGGAAGCTCGGTCCATCCTGTTTTTTGCGTTGCTTCTTGTGGCACCCATCCAAGGTTATGCAAATGGTTTCAAACGGTTTTCTGGCTTATCTTTAGTTCCTCAGCAATTAAATAAGTGCTCAAGTGACATCCTGTTTCCACTATTTCCATGATTTAATAGCAATTTGCGACGACGGGCCTCCCGACGAGTGGTGCATTTTTGACATCGAAATTACCAGAACGGAACCTAGCAACAACTTTTGTGCTACACGTTCGTTTACAGCATCGAACCCATAAACTAAATTAATTTTTTTCAGCCGCTTTGGCTGCTTTGATTTTTTTTTTTTGATTTTAGTTGATTTTATTTTAAATCATGTTGTTTTATTGTTTTTTTTTTTATTATTTTATATTTTATATTATTTTATTTTGCTTCATTTTATTCATTTCGTTTTATTTGTTGTCATTCTATTTTGTTAAAGATTTGGTTTACGTACGTTGATTTCGTTTTTTAACGAAAAAAAAATTAATCAAAGCATATGTTGTTGTTTCTTTTCTAACCCACGGTTAAGTACAATATGTTCACTGAACATGGTTATTCCCAAAGAATAGAAATGAAAATTCAATTACTTGATATTGAATTTGTTGCCAGACAAACCTCCAACGAGTGCATAGAAGTACATTGAAATGTCATGGCCATTGGCAAAAGGCTGCCCCACAAAGCACTACTCACTTGAGAGAGTATAAATAAAGCATGTATAATAGCATATATATATATATATACATATATATAAAATATATTCAACGGTATATTATAAAATGTTGCAGTGCAATGCAAAATACGCTGTCGATATAAGAGATTTGCATACAATTTTCTATTTGAACGAATAAGAAAGGAAAGTGCACTTGAAATAACAAAGGGATTACTCACACATTTTGCGTAAAGGCCAAAACCAAATATGCAATATACGTATGTATCTGTCTATGTAGGCATATGAATGTGTGCACATATCTTTATGCTCAAATAACTTAAATGCATGATTATATTGTATGGGCAAGGCTGCAACTCAAAACGTTTTGGGATTTGAATCTCAAAAGCAACACAGAGACGCCGAGGCTTAGTAGAATAGATAAATGGATGGATGGATGGATGGTCGGTTGGTTGCATGGTTAGCGGGCTGATTGAAGCAATTGCTATAGAGTGGGCACAGCGACGATGACAACGCTGTGTCTGTTGCAGTGCGAACAGCATTCTCGCCAAGTTAGAGTTGAACACATTTAACATTGACTACTGGAATACGTATAAATGTCAATAACTGATTTGCATTCGAGAGCGCGTGCTCGTATATTTTGCATACGCACATATCGTAAAATATGTATGTTTTGCCAAGGTACATAGAACGCTCATGCAAATGCAACTGATGTATGAGATTGCAACAAACGTACACCCAAAAAAATATTACAAAATAGGGAACAAATATTTCTGTATCTGTGCTTGTACACTAGTTTTGAGCCAAGAGCAAAACCGTTATCTTTGCTCAACCAACGTAGTCGCCAGACTTGGCTCCCGCTGACATTTTCCTCTTCCCAAAATTGAAGACACCAATGAAAGGAAGGAGTTTTACCACGATTGGGGAGATAAAAAAAAAAATCGAAACAGGAGCAACTAGCGATATCAAAAAACGCGGTTCAAAAGTGTTTCGAGGATTGTAAATAACGCTGGCATAATCTTATTATATCTGAGGACGATTACTTTGAAGGGGACAAAATATTTATTGATGAATAAATAAATACTTTTTGAAAAATTTAAAATAACGGTTATTTTCTGATCACACATCGCATGTATGCATAAGCGCACACAACTGCAAAATTTAACAACATTTGCATAAATATATGTATGTGCACATATATATGTTGGCAGATTTTACACAGAGGAATAAAAATTGTCAAACGTAAAATTTAAAAGTACTCAAAAAAAAAGATATATTTATATATACGAGTATGTACAACTATATATTTCGGAATACATTTAAATTGCTAGCGATAAAAATGTCACTCAAATGTTGATTGATTGCGCAGCATTTCTAAGTTTTTGATTACATAAACGTGTTATTTGCATATTTTTAGAAATTTGCTTCTTTTGGCGAGTTCCCTTTTTATTTAGAAATTTCATTATAAAGGGTGTTTCATAAAGTACGCAGTTTTTAAATTGCACCGGATTTCTTTTTTTATTGGAATATTGTCAGCGCTGTTCCCATTATTTTCGTTATCTATTATCACTTCGATTAGAAGACCTTTTGACGTTTTTCCATTTTGTTACCATGGAGCGGTTCAGTATCGAGCAACCCGTTCTTATTGTGAAAACTCTCATTACAAAATCGGGGAGGGCTACGCAGAGGCCGGCCGTAAACTTCGCGTGATCTTTGGACCTGACTATACCTCGACCGCAACAAAACAGTTTCGAGGTTGGTAAAGAAATTCGAAAAATCAGTTGCAATGAGAAATTCGCTCGTAGAGACCGTAATGTTCGAACGCAACAAAACATTGCGGCAGTGGAAGAGAGCGTGAATGTGAGCCCTATGAAGTCGCTTCGCCGTCGTTTGCAACAGTTGGGTATGTCAACATCTTCGGTGCATCGAATACTGAAAAAAGATCTTCATA